TGCCTTGCTGGGATCCCTCTCAGCCTGTATTATCCACACCCCACCCCACAGGAGGGCGTGATTTGAACAGTCCAAGTTGAAATCACGTCATGACAGCAAATCAAAAGTCAAGAGTACACGGCTGCCCACGCCCCATGCCCCACTTGAGCACGCTGATTCAGCCAGTAAGAGATGTTAAATGGCTACTGGCCTCGCCCTTCAAGTCATGGCTTAGGATTCTCCCTCATCCTTCACCTCCTCCCTCTCCACAACCAATCAGTACTCTCCAGCCCATCCAAGCGTGACAGCGTGAGGCAGCAAAACCGAACATACACACACACACGGAAGGAGACAGAGAGGGCGAGAACGAGCGAGTCGAAACACTCAATCATATTCATCTTTAAGGAGCTTGCGAAACAGACACCAGGGCCTAGACTGCTCCCATGCTATTGGGTCCTCGCAATCATATCAAATCAATCGCCAATCATCAGCTAGGCCTACTTGCTCCGCATTTTTCTGGCACCTATCGATCGTGCATCTAACGTGTGTAAGTCCGTGTCCGTGTGTGCGTGCGATATCTGCGAAGAAACGCGTGCCCCGGAAGGAAAAGAAACCAAAAAGAAAAAAAGAAGAAAAAGGTCAATTCGGTCGATACCTTCCGGTAGTGATAGTCGAGGGGGATCACGATAGCAGGCGACAAGCAAACAAGCAAGCTCCAAGCACCTCGCATCCAACTCAGTTTTCGGTCCGTCCGTCTCTCACACCGCCAGAGAAAATAACACCTGCGGTGGGATAGAGAAGCCAACAACAAGAAGACACCACCAACGAAGAGATACGTCAAGACGAAGGAGGTGACGACCCCCTACTACACTAACCGGCCCTCCCGTCCCGCTAGTTTCTGGCGGCTGGCTTCCTTGCCCGGCTTCGAGCTCACGGACTGCCTCTTGGTGTCTGGTTGTTGAGGAAGGAAGACTTGCGTGTTTGAGGAGTGAGAAAGAGGGGGTGTGTATTTTTACAGGAAGGTGCGCTTGGAGCAAGGTACATGCTTTCCTCCTCATTGCGACGTCAACGTTAGCAACCCCAACCGGCCACACACCCCTCCCCTCCTTCTCCCTCCTTCTCCCTCCTCCTGCCTTCACTTGCCTTTGCCTATCTGCCTGCCCGACTCTCGCACTCCGGTGCGTCCCTCGCCTGTTCTCACCCTCCTTCCCGACTTTTCTAAGGCGACACCCCTTGGCTGCCTAGCACCTCAGGCTTCTTCACCCCCCATATCCTAGCACAGCGACCCATCTTGCGCCGACGCCACACACTCACACTTTCGTCTTCAGGATCCACGCACCTCTTTTTTTTCTCTTGCCCTCTCCTCCGCCCCTCCGAAACAGGCGTACAAAGTGCCAGAGAGCCCCGGTTCGTCAAAGGCAAAAGGTCCAGCGAATCCAACGAGCCAAAAGCCAGAAAAAACCCGCCCTCCCACAAAACCCAGCAAATCAGCTCGGTTTTTTTTTCTTGCGACCACTCAGGTTCGTCGCTCACCTCTCCAACGTCTCCCCTAACCTGCCACCAACCACCACTCGCGTTCACCATTCACCACTCGCGGCCTGCGACTGCTTCCAGAGAGCAATATTCGCGGGACTATTCGCGACGCTGGAAATTCCTCAAGCTCCTTTACCCTATCATCGTCGACCTCGACATCTTGCCTACCCATTATCTGTCTATTGGCCAAGAGCAAGCAGCACCAGCAGCAGCAGATCGCTCATCTCTCCCGTCAGCTGATAGACTCGACCTGCGGAAAATAGCAATTTTCCCCTCTCTGACTGTTTAACCGCAGCTCACCGTACCGTTCCGCATCGCATCGCAGCGCGCGACCACAGCGAGGGCCCTTCGTCCAACCGCGTCGCACTTTGCCTCTCCGCCAAACACTCAGCGCGCACACGCGTCAAAGCTTTCTCAGAGACGATTCCAAGCTCCTGTCGTGACACTCGAGTGAAAGCCTATCAGAAAGCTTCCTCGACTTAGACCACAAGCCATTCCCAAAAGTCTACAGACCTATTTTCCAAAGCCAAAAGTCTGGCCAACCAGGTATGTTTCGCATGCCCTTTTGACATGGCTCCTTCGCGCCCCTCCTTTCCAGCCTTGCACGCGCTTCCTTGTTCCTGGACTCGGGCGCCATCTTCGCTTCTTGTCGTCTATCTACTACGCTATTGGCAATTTGGTTCTATTCAATCTGTGGATTTAGCGCTTGGGATTCGATTCCACCCAAATCCGCTTTGGACTTTGACGACGACCGAAATCTCGCTAGGGATTTCTCCAGTGTTCTCAATCTTGGTTTCTTTTTTTCCACTTCCTCTCTCATACACGTCGCGCCCGCGCTCCGTTGTCTGAAACCGGGACGAATAACACATGCTTACGGACTTCAGTAGGGCGCATAATATACCCCCCTTCAGGCACTTCGCTCTCACAGGCGATTACACCCATCTTCAGCTCCAGTGGTACGTGTGTTGTGCTTTCTTTCTTGTTACATAGTCCCCAACCTTGACACCACCTATACGCTTTCCGCTTCCCTCAAAGTGTAACCATCCATTCCTCGGTCCTCCCCCTCCCTCTCCATGTCCACGTCAATTTGTCTCTGTCAACTACGGGCATCGGCGTCACTCTGCAGCACCTACTGTCCCGTCCTCTGACGCGACCCAATCTTTGCTGCCATGGCGTACATACCCCTTCCCCCATGGAAACACATCGGCAGCCGACCAAGCCTTTGATGCCTTCTCGAAGCACTCCCTTCGGCGACTGGCATCGAGGCGGCGGCGGCGGCGGCGATGGGGTTGGGTAGGGTCTCATTGACCAACCACCTCGCGTCCCATGTGCAGCCTCAGTGGGCTGTAGATCTCGCAGCACTTAGTGAGCCAAGTCTGGCTTGCGCTCGCGACACAGGGCAGCGCTTGTACAGGCACCCCGTCCCCTCCAGAGGCGTAAAGCACAGGCTCTGTCACAGCAGCTCGGACGCTTCTCTGCCTCTGCGCCGCCACCATTACCGCAACAAGGGGGAGCGTCGCCGGGCTGGTTGACATGGTGGGCCTGTCTCTGCATATTCCGTCATGCATGCGAGGTCTGCCAGCGCATCAAGTGGTGGCCCGAGACGCCAGGGGAGGGGCGCGAACCCCACTCATCCTGTCTGCCCGAGCTCTGGCTTATATACGGAAGAACTAACATACTTGGTTGGACAGATACCACGACGCGAAGTGGAATAGAATTAAACGGTCTTTTCTGGGGAATCAAGGCACCGACCTATTTCGTCCAAAGAAAAAAAAAAAAACCCCAAACCACCGCTGATTTACCCTACCCGCTTCCCGCTGTGCAGCTGGTAGACCGTTCTCTAGGACCATCCCGGACCAAGAAACAAGTCAATTTTCGCCGCCTCGCCTCCGCCTCGTACGGTAGCACCGGCAGCCCTCGACACGCCTACCCTCCCTCCCCTCTGTAACAACCCACACACTCTTAGCCCTCACGTGGCTACCCTTCTCACCCCAGGCTAAGCCACCCACCTCGCCCGCCCCGCGACTACATCAGCCCGCATATGCCGTGGTCGGCCACTTGCCTTGCGCACACCACTGCCAGCTCATCCACGCATCACCAATAGATTGCCCCCCTACGCTCCCAATACACTGGCAAAGGGCCCTAGGACACCGCCGGCTCCCAACCCGTGTGCCCAACTCTACCCAAACAGACGGGCCGTCCCAGTCATTTTAAAGCTCATCCCTCACGGCAAAGGCAGCTTTCATCGCTACTCATTCGTCACTCGCGACCCGTACCCGTGATACCCTTCATTCGCGGTCACGTTTTTTTCAACAACGCCAAACCCATCGCCGAGCTACATACGCTACTCGAATTCCCATTGGTTCCGAGCCTAACCGCGACGAAGACAAACATTGCCTTCATTGCACAGCTCGACTGACTCCCGAACAAGCTTGTTCCCAGTATGATGGAATACGCACAATACCCTCAACAACAGAACGCTCACTCGGGATACACGAACTCCACCAACGGCAATAACATCACCTCTCCCCACGGCGTACAGACGTCACCCATCTTGTCTCAACAACAATCGCCCTCGCAACAACAGGGACACAGCATGTACCAGCCACAGTACAACGTCCCTCAGCAGGGCATGCATTATGCCATGCCTCAAATCCAAGCCGCTGCCATGGCGGCGACTGCTGCTGCATCGGGATCCAATTACCCTTACATGACATCCGATCCCAGCATGTCCCAGACGTCCCCGCGAATGGGCGGCTCTAAGAAGGATAACCGCGATCCTCGATCGCCTACTCAGATGAACAACGTTTCGCAGCTGCCCGGCCAGAGGCGCCTCAGTCAAGTCACCAGCCCGGGCGTCCCCAACGCCCAGGGCATGATGAGCCACGTCGGCGGTCGGCCTGGCGTCGCGCCACCGCAGATGGCACAGGCCCAGGCCATGCCTCACCCGCAATCCCCTGAGATGCCTACCGGCGGCGTTGAGGAATCGCCTCTTTATGTCAACGCCAAGCAGTTCCATCGCATCCTGAAGCGTCGCGTTGCACGTCAAAAGCTTGAAGAGCAGCTCCGTCTTACCTCCAAGGGCCGTAAGCCGTACCTCCACGAGTCGAGACACAACCATGCCATGCGTCGACCCCGCGGACCTGGTGGCCGTTTCCTAACTGCCGAGGAGGTCGCCGCTATCGAGCGTGAGAAGGGCGGCGGCTCTGGCGAGCCTTCCAACGATGATAGCCCCGACGCCAAAGCCGGCACAAAGAGAAAATCAGAGGCCGACGACTCGAGCACCAGCAAGAAGGCCAAGAAGGCCTCCGAGAGTCCTGAAGAGGAAGACGACGAGGAGGACGACTCTTGATTCGTCCGCCTCCCTACGATCTTCTTTTGTCGCGCATTGCGCTTATGAAGCCACGAGAACCTGCAAAGGCAACTGGCAACCCTCTCTACTCTTCCGAGACTGAAATATAATGGAGACGAGAGCCACGATGAAGGGGGCTTTTGAGGACGTGTTTACAAGGGCCGGATCATTCTGAACGGTTATCTTTATACGCAACATGCGGGCCAGCACACAGGACTCTCGTCGCTCTCGGGCTGCCAGGCTCAACCCTTGCCGCATTACTACTGAGTGGCAATGGGTTCTCTTTTATCTTTTGCTCTTTTCGTTTTCACGGTTAATACACATTATCGACTGGCAACAGCATGGCATCCGTCTAGACGGGTGGCCGCAAGGGAAATGGGAGGGAAGAATGCATGGACGACTCGAAACGACGGATACCCCTCTTGTGTTTACTCGATTACCCCCTTCTCCTTGTTGTTTATGAGTTTTTTTCTTTTTTTTTCTTCTTTCACTTCGTGTTACAATTCTTTGTCGGGATGGGGCCTTTTGCTTTGTGTTCCTCAGCGACGGAGATTGTGGAAAAGGGCAAACGGTCTGGCTACCAACGGCTTTTTTTTTATTCTATGATACTTGCTTCAGCAGGGAGTTGAAACGAAGAGAAAAGAAAACCCCAAAATGAGCAGCCGCCAGCAATCGGCGTGCTGAGAGTTGACATTATGGGATAAGAGAATGATTGAAGATGATGTTTACGCTTTTATATTTTACCTACCTTTTCGCCACTTCGACTATGCCTTGTTGTATGGAGATAGACTACGGTTCCTAGCAAACCGTCACCGGACTTGTGCTTATGGGGAGGATGAAAAACACGGATTTGATGGCTGTCTCATTTTTATTGATACTCTGAGCAACCTATATACCACTTGTTATTCCCGTGCCTCGCCGTGGGCGGTTGGTGTAATTGTGAAGTCCATACATGCGTGAAACGGAGGAGCTCTCGACGAGGCGCGGACGCGACGTCGTCGGGCTATTCGGGCGAGCGTTCGACCACCACGGGAGTCTGCACTACATGCGGCGCGGCCCTTGGCCTGCCAACGCCGGATCTATTCCTAGCGATCAAGGGACGAGTCGTGGCTTTGGAGCAGCAAATCAAAAAAAGGACGACGCAACGCTGATTACCTAGACCAGGACAATGGACGGAATGCATTGGCTCGATGGGGTGCGGCTGTCAGGCTCCCCCGCCATCTGGTTTCCGGGGCCTGGAGGGAACCCCTCACCCCCGGGAGTAGGTAAGGTAGCTTACGTTCCCCGCTTTGGTGGTTTATCCGCTAAGACAATTCGCAGCTCCATGACCTTTGGCCGGTGGACCTCGGCATCTCTGCTGGAAATTCTGTCAAGCCATCTCCCTGCACAATAAAGCCCTCCAGCGCCCTTTTCAGCCCCCGCGTCTAGGCTCAAACCTGGCTAGGGGATGAACCGAGGCTGGACACCAAAAAGGACCTCGATTGACTAGCCCAGCAAGCCTTCCCCCGGAATTCACCCTCCGCCCGGGACTCTGGCGGCGAGTACTTGACCAACCATTTGTTCCGCCGACTGCACCAGCCGACGTCCAGTGTACGCTCGTTCGAGATCTAAGGGGTCTAACAAGGCCCCATAGGAAGTTCATCAAGGGGTAACGGCGACAACAGCAGTGAGCATCACCGACGTAGGTTGAGACAGCAGACATCGCAGGTCAGCATGGCGGGTCGCGTGCGGCACCCAATTGACCAGGAGGCGCTGGAGCGGTACATCAACAAGCATGTGCCACAGATCAAGACGCCGTTGGACATCAAGCAGGTGTGTAGTCTTCCTCGTCGCTTTCGAGCACCTATCGTCCCCTCGCTTACCGCGCACTTGGCCGTTGGCTTGACGATGCCTGTTCTAACATGATACCCACGCCCTCCAGTTCGGCTACGGCCAGTCGAACCCAACATACCAGCTCACTGACGCGAAGAGTGCCCGCTTCGTGCTGCGGAAGAAGCCCCCCGGCAAGCTCCTCTCCAAGGCCGCGCACAAGGTCGAGCGCGAGCACCGCATCATCGACGCCCTCGGCCCCACCGACGTGCCGGTCCCGAAGGCCTACTGCCTCTGCGAGGACGACTCGGTCGTCGGCACGCCCTTCTATATCATGGAGTTCCTGGGCGGGCGCATCTTTGAGGACCCGACCATGCCCGAGGCGTCGTCGCCCGAGGAGCGCAGGGCGCTGTGGCGGGCCGCGACGGTGACGCTGGCGCGGCTACACCGCGTCGTGCCGGGGGACGTCGGGCTCGCGGGGTTCGGGAAGAGCAGCGGCTTCTACAACCGGCAGATCCAGACGTGGACAACCATCTGCGAGAGCCAGGCCGCGGCCGTGGACCGCGAGACGGGGGAACGGGTTGGCGACCTTCCTCACTTTGGAGAGATGGTGCGGTTCTTCGGGGACCGTGGGCGGCAGCCGCGGGACAGGGCCACGCTCATCCACGGGGACTACAAGATTGACAACATTGTCTTCCACAAGACGGAGCCAAGGGTCATTGGCATTCTGGAGTATGTTTATCCCCCCCCCCCCCCCAACCCTTTTTTTCTTTTCCCTCCTTTTCTACCTATTTCCCCCCTCCCACCTGCAGGCGAGCCAAATATGTTGAGAGAGTATATGTGTGAGAGCTTACTGACGGACCGCGCGCGCACAAAGCTGGGAAATGTCCACAGTAGGCCACCCCCTCTCGGACCTCTGCAACTTTCTGCACCCGTACTTCACCGCCGAGCGCGCCGGCAGAGGCGTCTTCGCGAACGAGGGGTTCCGGCCCGGCGCGACGCCGGGCCTCCCGACGACGGACGAGATCGTCGGGTGGTACGCGTCCGAGGCCGGATGGCAACCGGCGGCCGAGCTCAACTGGGGCATGGCCTTCAGCCTGTTCCGGCTAGCGGCGGTGTGCCAGGGGATCGCGGCGCGGGCGGCACAGGGCCAGGCGAGCAGCGAGCAGGCCAAGCGGTTCGCCGTGACGAGGGGCCCGCTGGCCGAGTTCGCGTGGGAGCTCGTGGGGAGGAGCCGGGAGCAGGATGGGGGGAGGGCGTCGAAGCTGTGAGCGGGATAGGGGGGGTGGGGGCCGGCGCCTCTTTGTGTGTCTTACTTAATCTTGTCGATTCGAGGTGGTGGTGGTTCCTGGTTCCCTGTGTCATTTCCGGCTTTCCCTCGTGAGGGTGGTGCTGCTTGGGCGGGTTGGTTCCATGCGCGAGTCCGCCGGTTCTTATTGTATAAGCAGACGGTTGCCGCAACGGCAGAGCCTCGGCAGCGCCTCTTGTCCGGTTGGGGTTCAGGATGCCAGCGAGGCTAACCTCGTGTCGACAGTTCGGTCGGTCATTGACGCACCGGCGTTTGAAAATGTCGGGGCAAGCATACTAAGCGCAAACAAAACTTCGCCCCCTGGCTCTCTCTCTCTCTGTCTCTTTCTGTCCCTCCCATTGCTGCTTCTTCACACGTGAGGTATTGCTGAACGACGGCTGGCCCCCCCCTGGCCGAAAAGGAAAGCATCGTACTACTCCCCCAGGGGTATAACACACCACACACACGCCACACACACACACACATACACACGCATTCGGACCTCCACTATGAGCGGACGGCAGTTCTCCACCCCTTCCCCCTTCAACCCCTTTTCCAACCCGATCTGAAGGGAAAGTGGCAGCGACACAGTGTGTGTACGTGTAAACACGCCCGACAAGATGAGCAGGGGTTTCCAAAAAAGTGAGGTCGACTGACCGGCTCTTGCCTCTGTGTATTCGGGGGTTTTCTCCGCGAAACGGGGTCCTGGTTTATTCTTGGTGAAGACAAGAGGTTTGACAGCACGATGGACATGGACTGCCGCGGAGGGCGTTGAGAGACCAAACACAACCTCCTTGTTGCTTGGGTCATTGCTGTTTTCACGGTTCACCTGGCGCCCTTGTATGCGGCTCACAAATATAATACTTTCGCTAAACTAACAACTAAAATATCTCTTTCTTCAATTTTCTCCTAGCATTCAACGGCTCAATACTTGAATAGCTTTCGGGAGGGAGCCCCGCTGCCGCTGATGGACGAAGACCCCCCGGAGGTGGCACTCGAAGGGGCGGCCCAACGACGACTCAGGCGGCGGGAACGGCGTTCCTGCGGGCACGGCGCGAGCGGAACGTGTCCTTGAGTTCTCGCTTGTTGTTTTTGTTGTTGTCGTCGTCGTTGTTGTTTTTGTCCTTGTTGCCCTTGTTGCTCTGCTGGGCCTGGCCGTTACGTCCGTTGGCGCCAGCCTGGGCATTGCCTTTGCCCTTGTTACCATCAGCGGCCGCGCCGGCGCCGTTACCGTTGTTCTTGCCGCCGGCGTTTCCCTTGTTACCTCCCTTGCCGTTGCCCTTGTTGGGGTTTCCGTTACCCTTGTTGGGGTTGCCGCCTTCGGCAGGGCCAGCAGCCTTCAATGTGGCGTTGTTGCCGAGGATTTCCTTGACGGCGACAACGCCCTGGTCGTTCTGGGTGGGGGCGTCCTGGTTTGCCTGGACGGCGGCAGGGAGGTCGATGGTGTTTTGCTGGATCTGGGTAAGAACATTATCGAGGGTCTGCTGAGTTGGGATGTTGGCAGGGGTGTTCTTCTTGGGCTTGACGTCGGTCTGCTGGACGGCGATACAGCCGCCAAAGGGGCCCTTTGCGTTGGAGTTGAAGCAGCGGACAGTGCAGACGTTTCCAGTGGAGGCTGAGGTCCCGTGTTAGTCGGCTCATGCAGAACGGTCACGGACATCAGGTCCAAGGGGGGGGGGGGGGGGGGGGGTTGAAAATCTTACCTCCTACGCAAGCCAGGTCCTTGGGCATCGTGACAGTGAGCTTGATGTTACCGTTCTGCGCCTTGGCCTCCTTGACGGCAAGTTTGGTCTGGCCAGTGGCTCCGATAGAGTTGCTGGTCGGGTCAAGATCGCACGTGTAGGGGCCGGCACCGTCGCCGCTGACTTGTGCGATGGTGATGTCGACATTGGAGCCCTTGGTGACCTGGGTGACGGTCTTGTTGCCGAGCTGATCCTCCGTCGCCTCGCCAATGTCGATGTTGCCTGCGAGGATGGTGCGGCCGCACTCGTTGACAACGTTTTGGGTAATCTCCTGCAGGTTGATGATGTTGGCGTCTGCCTTTGTGGGGTCGACTACGCAATACCTGTGAGATTTATTGTTTTCCTATGGGGAATGGACATTCCGTCCTTCATCTTATAAAAAAGACTTACCTAGGAGGCCAGCACCGGCTGGGCCGCTGGGGCCTTGTGCTTTGATAATGACACCTTGAGCGTTCGCCATGGCCAACATGGCGGAGGCGATCAAGGCTCTCATGGGAGAAGACATGATTGCTATAGTCAGAGGGAGAGAATAAGAAGAAGAAATAAAAGAGTCGAAGACCAAAATCGGCAAGCGTCGAATTTGGATTAGTATAGTTTGGCGAAAGGGAAGTCTAGAATGTGTCCAGCACCGTTGGAAGGAAGAGAAACGAACAAGAGGAGAGTCTCTCGATGGAAGAAACAGACCGGCTGGGTGATATTTGGAGAAGAGAATAAGTTCAAGGAAATCGAACGGGAAGGAAAGTATGAGCGAGCGATCCAAACGGGAAGATCACAGGGAGGCCTGCGGGTTTTGCGTGAAAGGTCGAGTCTATTAAGTTGGTATACATGCTTACTTTGATTTCTCCCCACTGCTTTCCTATTTCGAGCCGACCCTCACATCACATCACATCACGCCCTCTCCTCTTGGGGCGATGACAAGAGGGAGCCGCTTCCAGGGTAGAGCTTGTTTCGACAAGGGGTACCGGATGCACATGGTATGGATGGGCAGGGCGGGTGATGGTGGACGTCGTGCGTAGCTCATTACACGGTTTGTGTGTGGTTGACGAAGAGCACGGCGAGTGGTCCAATCAGGGCTGATGGCCGTAGAGGCCAGGGAGCCCCATGAACGCGGTGCCCGTGCCTGAACCAAGCGTGCAGACTTGGCAGTCGTGCCTCGTTTGTGTGCCTGCCTTGTCCAGGGATGTGATGCCAGGTTTTTTCTGGCGAGGAGGGGGCGTTACTACGGTAGGCGGCTCTTCTTGCCTCTGTTTCCTGCAGCGTTCTGGGCCAGCACAGATACCCTTCCACAGCCCCGACGATCATCTGGAACGAAAGTCGTCGCGAGGGTGGAGTGATCGGTGGAGACGGAGGTGTCCTGTGTGCCTGTGTGTACGTAGTATATAGGCAGTAGGCGAGTGGCAGAGCATGTGGGGTTGGCCAGAGAGTACGGAGGAGATTCGGTTTTGGGTTTGGAGGTACGCATATTTGTACGGATACAGACAAAGAGTAGTAGTAGTGATCGTGCATAGGTAGGGAACCTAGACAGTAATGATCGGTCGCATGGCCGGTAGGGTGGTCGGCGGGTCGCCCATATCATGCCCCATCAGATGTTGGGTGTTGCCGGGATGTATCGAAAAGGTGGGCAGGAGTCCAGACGAAAACGGGGCTACAACCACGTTTCAGGCCCTTGGTACGACCAATCCTTGGTGTATCCGTACATGTACATGTGTATTCGTACCTGCCTACCTACCATGCATAGCACAGTAGGTAATGTATGGGTACTCGGTACGAATATACATAACCGTTGGGCAAGTAAGTGCCTGGGGTCGCTCCTCCCCTTTTTTCGCTTGTCTAGCCGCCACCGTCCAGATGCATCGGGCGACGGCGAACCTCCGACGGCTCATCCTCTCCTCTCCTTTTCGCTTCCCGACAGCCCAAAACGTTCAGACGGGCCACGTTCTGAGACGACTTCGTAACGCGCAGGAGTTCGTTGAACGGGCTTTCTTCTGCCCAACCGCGTCTACGCCAAGACATCTTCAGGGACCAACGAGAATGTCTTCAAAGCCGAGGCTGCTGCTCCACGGCCGTTTTGGATGTTCTTGACGTCGCTGGCGGGGAAGGGACGTGATGCGTGTGTTCTGATGCTCATATCCATCCATCATCGAACGTCTCGCTGACTCGGAAGGCCGTCTCTGGAAGAAGCAAGACTCAGCCCCCCACTAGCGAGGGCATCGTAGCGGGCCTCCATTCCGTCATCCCAATGCTCACTCATCTGCATTACACAAGCTTCATCGACGTCTGATGGATAAAAGGGCACACAGAAGGTTGGAAAAGAGATCCGGTTACAGCTCATCCGATACGTCCTGCAAGACTGGTGTTGGGCAAAAAGGCACTGGGTTAAGGATAATTATTAGTTTAAATGCCTAAAACGGCGGAAGCTGCCATGTCGCGGCGGAGATGCTAGTGTCATCGGTCAGACGGTTGGTATGGGATGGGAGAGGAGGGGATGGGATGCATCTGCTTACAAAGTCTCCGAGCTGCCCCGGCGAAAGGGGGAGGAAGGGGGACGCAGGGTCCAGCACCGCTGCAAGTTCGCACCAAACGTACGTCGTCATCGCACGACTGTGAAACAAGCTTGCATTCTGGATTCTGGCCAGCGTTTGACCCATACGAAATCCTCGCCATCACTCCTTGCCCTTTGTTTGCGATCTCGTTTTTGCTTTTTTTCTTGCTTCATCTGGAAGAAACTTTTTTTGTTCAAAATCTTTCTCCTCCTTTCCAAGTATCACGGTCCGGCGTGCTCGAGCGCTTTTGGCTCTCGCTTGCGGATGCTTTTGCCTCGACTCCGCGCGTTGGCGACGCCCCTCCGGGCCGGACTCATCTTCAAAGGCAGTGCTCGACGCCGGCCCATATATCCTGTCGTTCCTGTCGTCTCTGCACTAGTCCTTTACCATCTGGTGCGCGCACGTGGGATTGCACGGGTCCGGTTTAGAAGGGATACTCGATGCGTATAACTGCGCCTCTGCTCATCGCATGGTCTACTACTGGTCATACTTAACGCAAACATTTGATCGCTGGGAGCATGCGGGCTTGGGGACTCTGCCTTTGTCGACGAGAGTCACGTTTCTTGATGTTTCTCGTCGGATCTCTCTAAACGGCGAAGTCGGGTCCCGTCGACCCAATTTTTTCTTTCTTTCTCGGAAAATCACCGCGCATCATGTTCATCAAACCGGGACAGCGCAAATCGCGGCGCCCGGCAACGGCAATACCACCCAATTCCCAATCGGGATGAGCCATGGTGAGCCCTCTACGGGCCAGAAAACCATGCTTCCAGCCTGCAGGTGTCGCCGAGAATCCGCCCATGGATCACCCCACGTCGTTGCGCACACGGACCCGGCCAAAATGAGATGAGATGGCAACTCGGACCCTTGCCTGAGTAATGTCGTTTACGCACTCAGTACTCATTGTTTGACAAAGAGCTGACGGGATGAACTTTGTCGCGTCCGAGGACGTCGGGCTCTTTGCAAAAGGAACGTTCAGACTCGATGGGCGTGACGTCGCAAAGCCTAAGGTGCGTCGATTGCTTGCCACATCTTTTCGGGACAGTCCCTGCTGCGATGATAAGCTGTTAGACCATTGATGAAGCGAACCAATCATTGGATGGGCGTTTCCTCTTACAGTTTAACCATTCATAATCTTGGAGGCCTTCTATACACAACTCAACACACAGTAGTATAGTGTACAACCTAGAGGAATGGCATTGTAAACATATATCCTTAGTGGCTGCTGATATAGTTATTGAATCTCACGTATTGACATGGGGTAGAAAGGAGGCAGCGACGCTCACATGGACGGCTCAAGTCCGACAGGGGACATTGTGGTTATGTTACCTCTCATCTCCGACGACCCAGTTGGTCAGCACGAGGGGAAGGTAATCAGTAGAAGATCCCACACAAGTGACCAAAGTCTCTTTTCGAATGAGCAGCGCTTCTAATGATGCGCTCAACCTCGCTTACTCTCGAATCGCTAATGGACCCTGACAACGTCGCAGCGTGCAAGCCAATGCCAACCTGCCCAAAGTATGTTGACGGGAAGTTAAACACGGACAATGAGCATTTCATCGAAGAAGCGGGGCTCCGAAAACGTGCGTGACTCGAGCGAGTAAAAAGCCAAGTGTGACATCACGATTGAAAGTGCAAGATTCACCGGATTCACAACGAGGAAAACAGGCCTACGCTTTCCGAGTCCCCTCAAAATCAGTAAATTGCAAGTATGTGCTTAGTCCGTTCGACGTTGGCGCGTTTTCACAAGTGGGATATGACATTGACAGTTGCGAGTTTGCCGAGCACCCGCTTCCGGTGTGCTTTGAGCTAGGAGAGCTTTAGAATAGGAACAAGCTCCGCCACTAGGAGGGATGAAATGTTTTTTTACGTTAGTGCGAGAAGTGTCGATCATTGTACTGCGTTCAGGTCGTTTTCATGGCGCCATCCCGTTGTCTGTAACTGGCCCCAGGCCCGTCATGCCGACAGTGAGCTCGTGTTGAGCCGAATGAGATGCAGGGAGATCGAGGCGTGGCGTGTGACAACGAGGATGGATATTGTTGTTCAGTTAACGAGTAGGCTTCTGGTAACGGATGCTATACAAAGCCTTTGACGACGACGCAGGCGAGACTGAAAGCAGCGGCTCGATGTCGGACCTTATCAGTCGGACCTTGTCAGTAGGACTCTTTGGGATAGGCATTATGTTTGGAAAGTCCTGCAACCTATCCTTCTCACCTAACCCCACCTATGTTTTCCTCTATAGTCGAGCTAGAGCGTGAACCGTTGCATACAGGGCAGATTCCAGCTGTGCCGGCCACATGCACGTAGAGTGTGCCGAGCATACGCAGATGGGGGCGCGCCGAGAGGCTGATATTCTACGAAGACTCGAGGGAAGACCACTGCCTCTCACCTCATGGTCTGCTACGTGTGGATGGAACCAAGAGATTGATGGATGGACCCGTATACAGGACGTGGTCAACGGTTTTCAATTCGTTCATATGGACGCAGTGGGTTGATCGGAACAGACACACTAATGATATCAAAGAATCTGCGAAGGTCATTTGCAAATTAAACTCAGATATCTTCGCTATCTGAGCAACTCGGTTGACAATACAGTATCTAATTACATCGTCTCGGAAGATAGGAACAATGACAGTAGGGGCATGCGAGATGTTCCGGCTGCCTGATACCCATCAAGGTAAGCTTCCTTGCATTTCCAGTGGCAGCCTTAACCAGAGCTCACCCGGCGAGCCCACATTGTGTCGCTGAAATCGGCTTTGCAATGCAGTCTTTGTTGAGAATTTTCATCTTCCCCTCGGCACGTATGATACTCGCATGCTCTAACTGCAGAAGCAGATGTCTCCACGCAACATGTTATTTAACAAATGTGGTGTCACGATAGCTGCACATAGCACCTATCAGGTGGATCATCATGTGTTATATCACGCGGCGTTTTACTCATTACTCGCATAACTTGCCTATATAAAGGACCTTTCCTTTAGATCTCTACTTTCATAGGCATACGCCTTTCTTGATCCTGTTCTTATATGCTCTGCTGTGTGCTCTAACTCGTGGCATGCGGTGTCAAAGTCGCATAAGAACTATGAAGAAGGGGAGTCCGGGAGCAGAATCCATGTGGAGAATTTCATAGCATTGTTTCTACATTTTTTTGAATAGATTATTGTGCAATGCTGCTGCGTTGGCAAAGGTGAGGCGTCGTAGGGAGACACCAATTGCTGTGCAGACTGTAGAAGAAGAAATGTAAGAGAACCAAGAGAGAGAAGAGGGCCAAGCCTTCGGCGGATGTAGGCGAATGGCGCCATTCTCATGTAAGTACCAAAGAGGCAGTGTTCCTTTTAGGCTGTAGTCTTGAGACAATTTCGGGTTACAGCAATAACAACTAATATGAACCAGCCCAAATGGAGTTGATAATGTTGTGTCTCATTGGTCAGCTGCTGGACGAAATGCATCAAGACATGACAACGCAACGACATCCCGATCGTCCGTTTCAACCGCCACGTCAGTTACATCAGCCTAGCAGACATTTCAGTGAAAGAAAAGCCGCCGACACCGTTTTTCGTTGAAATCGCTTGAACGCCAACCAAGTCGAGCAGAAGCTTACTACTTTGAGGACCACAGACCATTTTTGGCTTTGCTCAATGTTTGAATAGACGGGAATCATGAAGTTGCTATGTTCACTAATTGAGTCCGACCGACCGCATACACGTTCTAGTTATTGATGTCATGAATACATGGACGCGCTTAGATGATCCGGAGAGCGACGCTGAGGGACAGCGTTATGATTCGGGATACTGTAAACCAACTTCCTTCGGCCTCGTAATCATTCGTCGTCCTATGCTCAACCTGTTGGAAAACTGATTTTGATAGAAAGATTGTAGACCGAGGGAACTGAATTGCACCAGGTGATCCCCCAAGCTGCATTGATGAAGAGTGACGCAAGTGGCTGTCCACTTGCTTCAGAGAGCAAAACTCCCTTTCATTTATCTTGCTGAGACATCAAAGCTATCCATTCAGGCTCATCCTTTTCATGGCAGTAGTTGCACTGTGATTGGCGTAGACGTTGAGACATCGGGCAACGGTCTTCAACGGCTTCTAGTTCACTTTCGTACTAACGCATACCATCGTAGACCGAGGCCTTCTCTTATTTCATGACCGGCCCAGAAATGGCCGCTATTGACTTTGCGATGCAATATTTTTTTGAGTGATAGATACGATGTCTTCATTACATTTACATTGTTGTCGTGATAATATACTGGTCGTAGTTGCAGCAATTTGACTGCGGTTCAGCGTCAGCATCAGTTATTATGTCACGAGTTAGAGCACACAGCAGGGCATATGGGAATTGAGGTCTAAAAGGCTTGGTTCTAAGTAAATAGAAGTAACGAAAGTAAGGTCCTATATATAGGCAAGTGAATGTGAAACGTCACGTGCAACAGCACCTGACAGAGCTGTTACAGACAGTGGAAATACATGAGGTTATCGTGACATATTATATCTCAGGTCTTCAACGAAATGCATTTTTCAGGTCCAGTAATGTCTGGCGCCTCAATTTAAGCTGTAGGACAAACGTATGGAAACTGCCAAGATTGATCTCGGCTATTCTTGAACCTTGGTCAAATCAGATAAGACCAGATTCGCTTTAATCAATGCCAGGGACCAAGCGTATATATGCATATATTGGTCTCGCTCATTTTGATTGATTTTTTACCAAACACCTAGTGTAATACTATTGACAATCGTGTTCCCAGACAACTCAACATAAATAGACGCGTGCTTGCCTTCTGAGAGGGCGATCAAACTCGAACGCCCCCAAGAAACGTTCGCGTTTCGAGATGTGGGAATACGAGTGCTGTCCTAGACTTTTATGTGGTCCTACCGAGTTGCGTGTGCCGCGTGACCACTCACTTGCGATATCGGCCAATAGTCTTTTGGGACTATCAGACATGGTCCCTAAAAAGAAAACTCTATTTCTATTGAGTGTCTCGAGCACGCTTAGCCGTCTTTCTCAACAATAAAAAAGACGCTCAGATCATCAGCCATTTGGCTCCGGGCACTCATTTCACAGACACGCCGTGATTTGCCATTGAGCAAGATCTTGAAGTTTCTTTTCAATTTTTTTTTCCAATTTTCTTTCTTTTCAACGGGTCACTGCGTGGAGTTCCCCGCCTTGCTCGCCTTGTTCAACTTGCCGAGTGCCAAGCGCCCAGACCTTATTTGCCTTCACCCATGTCTATTTATGTCCTTTCGTCGCTTTCCGATGCGGCAAACTCCACAACAAGTTCGTTGGTAAGCTAGACCGCCTCTTGTCCCAGTCCAAGGTCTGGCCGGCTGGCCGGAACCCAGGGAACCGCCACCGGGGCCCCAGTTTATCCAAAAAAAGGGGACCCTCCTCCGCCACCACCAACACAGGGGAACCTGAAATATGGATCCATCAAGGCTTGGAAATTCTCAACAACGTGGTACGTGCTCCGAAATCTCTTTGACCGAACTTAACCCGGCCCATCTTAAAAGGACGGCCGTCAGGGGTAACCGGCGGTGAGCTGCGTTTGTGATCATTCAACTCACAGCTTCTCCTGACCTTGCCCAGCACGACATTTCCCATCTAGCCTTTCATAGTGATTAGAATGCCTCACAGCACGGAATCCCTCAAGCTCAACAGCAACAACCTATCTT